TGTGTGCTCGTTTGTCACCCGATCCTATAAAAAAAAAAAGGTACCCGTAGAAATGTCGCATCTGAACATATTAATTTCATAATCTATATTTCATGACACGAGATGGCGTCTTTATTATTAATTCTTAATAATTTTTTACCGATTAATATATATATATATATATATATATATATATATATATATATATATATATATATATATATATATATATAAACACTCACGCCTGTCACCCAGAGGGGTAGGCAGAGACTACGGACTTCCATTTGGCACGATCCTGACATACCTCTTTCGCCTCCTTTACATCCATATATCTACGCATACATGCTCGTCGGTTAAGGGTACTTCTAACGTGGCCCATTTTCAAAATATCGCCAATTTGGTCGATAAACTTTTTCCTAGGGCGTCCCTTCCCGACTCGGCCATTCACATCTGCCATATAAATTTGCTTTGTCACTCTTTCCTCATTCATTCTTTCTACGTGACCAAACCACCGAAGCATTCCTTTCTTAATCCTGGTCACAACATCATCTTGCATACCACATTTATCTCTTATCACGCAATTTCTCACCCTGTCGTTCAGATTACACCCTAGCATATTCCTTAAAGACCGCATTTCTACAGCATTTATTCTACTTTCGTGCTTCTTCTGCCACACCCAGCTTTCACTACCAAACATTAAAGTAGGGACTAACACGGCATTATGAATTACCATACGTGCCTGTTTTGACAAATTCTGGTTCTTCATAATAGAGTGTAGTGCCCCATTCACTCTATTCCCTGCATTTACTCGTCGTTCTATATCCCTATCGTATCTACCATCCCTGCTAAATACACATCCCAAATACACAAACTCATCCACTTGCTCAATCAACTCTCCTTCTATTCTTATTTCACATACCGTTTTGCTTTCTTCTCTTTCAAAAACCATCACTTTCGTCTTACTTGCGTTCACTTTCATTCCCCTTTCTTTTAATTCCCAGTTCATTAATGTAACCATCATTTGCAACTCTGCCGCCGATGACGCAAGTATGACTTGATCATCGGCATACAAAAGGCATTTGACGGTTAACTCGCCCATTCTTAACCCACATTCTTCATCTTTCAAAGTTTGCAAACACCTGTCCATAAATAGGTTGAACAGCCAAGGGGAAGCCACACAGCCCTGTCTGACACCTTTTTGGATGCCAAACCAGTCCGAGTAGACCCCATTGATCCTGACACAAGTACTAGAGTCCCTATAAAGAGTCCTTAATGCCTGTATCAAACCAGCGCTCAACCCATATGAGTTCAGTGTTTGCCATAACACATTCCTGTCCACTCTGTCATAAGCCTTTTACAAGTCCATGAACGCACAAAAAACTTTCTGGTTTTTGGCCAAAAACTTCTCCGCAATCATGCGCATGGAAAAGACTTGATCTGTACACCCCATTCCCTTTCTAAAACCCGCTTGCACATCCCAAATTTTTCCATCAGTTTCTTTCATAACTCTTTCAATTAACACCTTAGCATACAGTTTACCCACAATACTAAGCAAGCTGATACCGCGGTAGTTTTTGCAGTCCTGCTGTGACCCTTTTCCTTTATATATTGGTACTATAACTGCTTTACACCAGTCATCCGGTACCCGTTTTAATTCCCAACATAAATTAAACAAGGTGTACAGCAGGCCTGCCACCACTCCCTCTCCAGCCCTTAGCATCTCGAGTGATACTCTATCATATCCAGCTGCCTTACCTGCTTTCATGCTTTTCATTGCTTTCATTATTTCATCTACACTTATCTCCATAACCCTTTCCACTTCTTTCGGAATATCTAGTTCATTTAATTCATACGACTCTTCACTCATAAACACGCTTTCAAAGTATTCCTTCCATCTGTTTAAATTCGAAACTTCAACATTCAGAATACATCCATTCTCGTCTCTTATAACATTTATTATAGGCTATTTTGTATTTCCCCTGGCAGTTCTTACGAGTTTCCAGAACATTTTTATGTTAGCCTGGAAATTATCAGATATCCTTCTATCATTCTTATCCGTTCTTTCTTGCTTTTTCCTTTCAACAACTTCTTTTACTCTCTTATTTAGACGTCTAAATTCTGCCTTTTTTCATTCAATCTCATCATTCAGACCAGAAGAATTATCAGCTTTGGTTGCTAGTAAATCTAACCATGCTTTCTTCTTTGATTCAACTTCCACCCGTACCTCATCATCCCACCATAACGTATTACTTTTCCTTTCATTTGTTCTCTTACTTACACCGCATACTTCGGTGGCGGTATCCACCAAACCTTTCTTAATATTATCCCACACAGTATTCAAGTCTAAATCATTCATACACAACTCATTCAAACATCTAATATTTCCTCTCAGTCTACATTTATACTTCTCTTTCACATCTTCATCTTGTAACTTCTCTATTCTTATACGCTGTAACGCAGTGGTAGACACAGATGTCCGATGCCGCCAACGCTTGAAAAGACCATTAATTCGACATAAGACCAAGTAATGATCCGTCCCTACGTTGGACCCCCGGTAAACCCTTGTATCTACGACTGCGCTCCTCATTCTTTCATCCACAATTACGAAATCTATCATGCTTCTATCATCACCTCTTTCCCATGTATACATGTGAATCTTCTTATGACGAAAAAAAGTATTCGTCACAAAAAGATTCTTTTCCGCACATACGGTGAGGAGGTCTTCACCATTCTCATTTATACTTTCATCACCAAACGTTCCCAATATCCTTTCATAACCAGACCTCTTCACCCCAACCCTTCCATTAAAGTCTCCTATTTTACTGATTAAGTATCTTATTAACCGACGAAAAGTAATTGCTTGGTTTTTACTGACATTTCTTGAATTATTTGTACAATATCTAAGTACACACGACGTCATATTTTTATCAAGATTTTTTTTTAAATCAACACAACACGTAACAACTCTACAAGCGCCTAGTGAGTGACTGATTAAAGTGTGGTGTATGCACTGCAGTTGAGTGGAACAGAGTAGCTGAATGCAGTGTCGCCTCTAGTACGTTGTACATAATAGCTCAATGTGCCAATAATGTGTCAATAATTTATATTTTACCTTGAGCTTGTGATATTCCTTAAGTCTACTCAAAAAGATCAAAAAATTTTACAACAAAAATCTCCACTTTTATCGTTTTTTAGCATAACAATTAATAGCATTCGCAGTGGTCTTTATACATTATTGGCCGTATACATTAGACTACTCTATGATTATTGGCCAAATACTCAATGCTAATTCGCTTTGACGTAAAGTGATAGACACCTAACAGCACTTAAAATTCACATCTCTTCAACACACTAACATCTTACTAAAAACGATGAAAACTTGCTACGATGATTATAAACCTCCACTTATTTTGTCCGCGAAGGTAGTAAGAGTTACTCTTACCATAGGCTTATCCGTCGGCTTTAGCTGCTTTAAAAAAAAACAAGAGGATCATTGTATTGCGATTAGGGTTTTAGGGTTTCATGTATCCTTTTTGGCAGAAGGCCGTGTAGCAAATGCAATCAAAAATAAAAAACAACACTAGAGTTTCTTCATAAAAAGTTTATTTACATAACATACATATTAACTGACAAGAGTAGTTATAGTAATAAAAATAAACTCAGCAGCGGAATCAAGGGGAGGGGGCAGTTGCTCAGTGGGCAGTCGCCACGGATTTGAGACAAGTGTTCACGGCTTACTGAGGCGCTATCATAATATAGTTAAAAAACTAAACAATAAAGTATATTTTTTCTTTTTAAAATAGGAAGAGTTACGACAAAAACTTTCTAATGGAGTGCTATCGAAAATTCCCAATGATAAAAACCAAATTAATAATACACAATTTTACCCTAGCGAAGCGATGCTACGTCGTTTAGTTATATAGTTCTCATATCAAAATAAAGATTCAACTGAATTCGACGCGATGCGTTTTATCTTTTCTCCTTTTTATGCAAATCTATATTTTTTTACATTTAATTTATTCAGTTCGAAAATCAGCCGTCTATATCTATGTTAAAACAAATTGAATATACATATACACTGTTAAATATAATCTTTCAACATATTTTATCTGAAGTCACAACGTCGTGGTGACGCGAATGGAACACCGTATCGCGGGTTCCGTTCCGTCGTGGCTCGTTCTAATCAACTTATTTCATTTTTAAAACAACTTTACAATAAAATACATACGTAGTACATATCGTATCCTATATTAGTAGGCGCGGAAGATGTTCTGACGCACGGATTTGTCGGCGTCCCGGTCGGCCGCTCCGTATGATACTTCATAATTTTAAGATATAAAATCATGGTTACGAAGCGTCACCTACAATCGTTAATAAATAAAACTCCTTACACGGTCTTAATTTACTTAACAAGTAGTGGTAGACTGCCTCCGCTGGTTTGACGTTACGTGTTTGTTTGTATGTTGGTTGGCGTACGGATTTTGGACATTCGTACGTTATCGATACATACGTACGACGTCAGAATTCGATACAATCGCGGCGTCTATCCTGGATTCGCCCGGAATACCAGCGGACATCATCGGGAGCGCCGGGAAAGAGGACCGCTTTCTCTTCCCTTGCGCTCCGCCCTCGACATGAGAACGTCTTAAGGGACAACAGCATCCGGCGCGGTAAAAAAAAACAACAACCGCCCGGCCAAACAAACGTTCGTCAAACGCGAACACAACGACAGTCAACAAATATAAAATTTATCTCGTATGCATTTTAAAAATCTGAAGCAAATTTCATTTAGAACCTCGATAAATAACTATAGCTTTAAAAAATATTATACAACTTTCTCTAGCTCCATTAAGCGTTATCATAATAATAGTTTAGTCTAAGAGTTCCGAGTGTGGGAAGGGAAGTGGAGTGGGGAGAGAGGGGGGTCGCTAGTATATAAAAATATAGATGTTGTAGGCGGGTGAAGAAGGGCCAGAGTGAGGGTCTGGGGCGGGGCCGGACACCGCCGGACGTTCCTCGCGTCAGTCCTCGCTACAGGAGTCCTCGTTGTCTGCCTCCCGGATGTTCGTGAAGAAAGAGGTCAGCGCCTTCAGCATCACCGCTGCAATAAATATGTTTTATAAACATTGATATATAATACTAGTACGTTAAAGTCAGATGCGAAACATCTAGTAATGAGATGTTTACCAACAGTGATTACAACAATCCTCCCCACATACGGGTGCTCCAGTGATTCTGTTCAACTTGTGATTGGCCTCCAGCAGTAACATTTTTCGAATTGATGAAGAAAAACATAATATACTAGTGTGCTAAATGTGTCAGTATGAACAATAAGAAGGACCACTACCCCAGAACTGATACCTTTTCTCTGCTGCCTGGCAAGGCCGCAAAGAAAGAGCCGCGCTCGCTGCTTCAGAGAGCAGCATTAAGGGAGCTGGGCAAGTTACTGCCACTGTGGTGCTTGGGGCTGGAACCAGTAGCCGCGCTGGAACTGGGAAGGCTGAAATTCCAGCCCGAGTAGTATGCACGGCTACCGTAACCAGCTCTAAAAAATCCGCCAGGAAGCAGAGAGCAGAAAAGTGTCCCGGAAAGAAGGAAAGAGCAGGAATCAGCAGAAAAGGATGCTGAATGAGTCCACCTCAAAATACACAGGAGAGAAGAAAGTTGTCGCTTCAGTCTACATGCCGGAGGAAGACACGCCCCCTCATGACCTCGTCAGGCTGGTGAATTTCTGCGAGAGATGTTGCAGAGAATACGACCTAACCGTTAGTCCAAACAAAATGGTTCTAGTAATGTTCACACAAACACGAATGCTGAATAACTATCATCTCCCAAGTCTCTTCAGCACAAAACTCCAGCTATCCTCTGAGGTAAAATACTTAGGTCTTACCTTGGACAGTAATTTTAAGTGGATTAAACACAGAAAACAAAATCAACAAAGCTAGTTTAACTTTATGGCAATGCAGAAAAACATGATTGGCAAACAATGGGGTTTGATGCCATAAATTATATGTGGCCTGTACAAAACTGTAATTCGGCGCATGATCACATACGATCTCGACGCACTCTTGTATGGTGGACCAAAAGTAATGAAGCCACAGGAGAAAGAAACGGCGGCTCACGTGTTACTGACATGTCCGGAGGTCGCTTCATACATGGCTTAACATCTCGGCACGCAGGGATCGCTCCCCGAAGCTGCTTCCAACATCAAAGGACTGTTGAACTTCTTCGGGGAGATTTCATGGCTCGAATAATAGCATTATTCCTGCCCACACGCAAAATACGTGCTCAGACGTGGAGTTGCGAAAAACAGCCCGTCGGAAACTAAAATTCACTACTCCATATATTGTCTCATGGGTGTCTAAGAAGCGACAGAGTGAAATTGAATAACAAAATGATGGGCAGCAGCATCTTCCCGATAACAACTCATATTAATTAAAAACTGCGGTTGACAACCCGCTCGCCAAGTGTGTCAACTAGGGCAAAATAAAACCCACATTGAGACAATCTATGGGGGAGGCCTTTGCTCAGCAGTGGACTTTTATAGGCTGTGATGGATGGATGGCAGCGTTAAAGTAATGTGCGAGATGTCTGGTATCACTATCAATCTGTGGATGGGCCGCCAGCAGTAAACTACTACAAATTGATGTAGTAAAATATATACGATACTAGCATGCTAAATAACAACAAAAAAGACTTCCAGATGTGGTTAATGTCCATTTCAAATCAAAAGAGGAGCAAAAAAAAACAAGACAAGAAACATCTTATATAGAGCGATCGAACTTCTGCCTACTAACAAAATGGCGATTTTATAAAAAAAATAAGGACATTAATAACTACTGCTTTGGTTTTTTTTACATTCTATAATTTGATCTAAAAAAGTGGCATAGTTTTGTATGTCTTTTGTTTTCGCAGGTGAGCTATAAATGCCAATGGTTTTATAAACCTCAAGTTATTGCATATATTTTGGCACCTTAAAATACCATCATTACCGTGGACTCTCTACTGCCTAACGCTGTCTTAACATGAGACTAGGTAATAAAAAAATCTAAATAATAAACTATGTTAAATTTTAAACATAAACACACCTTTGCCTTCCGGCTCCTTTTCTGTCATTTCCCATGCAATGAAACCTTCTACGGAAATTATGTATTGTTCATGCAAGTACTGGAATATATCTAATGTTAAGCCTGAAACAAGAGTATGATTTTATTTATTATAATTGTAAAAAATAATTTAAGGGTTGTGTTAGTATTATCTTATACATGTCTGTATTAACAAAAATCAAATATGAGTAATTCTAACACAGTCCTTCCAGCCGGTTATAAGCCATTGATCGTGGATAGATTATATAAAGTGACAGAGTTCATCATCGGACAACCACATTCATTTGAACCAGAGTATTCGAATTAAACGGTTTGCTGCGTCGTCATCGTAATGCACACAGCAAAGGAGTGGAATAATTTGACAACATCTTACCATCCGATTACTATACCGGTGTCATTAAAGCAAGAGTAAATAGGCTTTTGTTATGAGCTAAGTCAGTGCGTTTTGGCTATCTTCAGATGTAATATATCACCACTTTGGTCTAGTAAGACAATAATCAAGCAAGGGCTTATAGTATTTAGTAAAGTACATAAAAGACATGTATGTAAATAAAGGTTCAACACGAAAATATTATTACTAAACCCTTAACGAAATACAAATCAAACGACTGGTATAACTTTATTCAATAAACGTCAACTTGTTAAAACACTTCCTGCAGTTACTCACACTGACCTGCGTAACTGTCTATACAAAGTACAATTATGGAGTATTGCTCGCTCACCTTCGCGAGTTAAAACCTGTATTGCAGTCAGCATTTTCGGCTTGCAGTTGTCTGTGGGGTCACTGGTCTGCTTGATTTTGAAACACATTCATTAACTGTTTTTTTGTGTTGTGTAATTTTAACAGGTACCATCCTCTTAAATATTGCTGTTAGTATAGTTACAGGCTGTAAGGGATTTCATCTTAGTCCTCCGAAGTGACATAGCATCTATAGCCTCCTTTATTTGAAATCAGCTGCAGGTGAAATGCAGTGGTCACAATCAGGTGGTTAGAAAAGTTTGTCAGTCATTTCAGTTTTATATTGAAAAGCAAATTGCATACTGTGAGGCATTCCTTCTTGATCCTCAGATGTGACAATGCTTCTGTAGTTTTATTTGTCTGAAGTCTGCTGTAACTGTCCATAGACTGTGCTTTGCCACTTACCATCAGGATGGTGACTTTTTTACAAGGTCGCAGGACTCCTTTTTAGGCTAGGAGTCCATCTGAGTAGGTACTATCCTCTTAATATTCTCTCAGTATAATTACAAAGCTGTGAGAAATTATATCTTTGTTTTCAGAGGTGACCACGCAGTCTCGTCTGTTTAAAATCATTTGTAGGTGTTCATTAAATACAGTAACATTTAATAGTGCCAGTGTCCATGGACCACCTGATGAACTGCAAGTCCTCGATAAAGTACAACAAAGCAAAGGATTGTACCTTGCGGTTGAGGTGACAACACAGCCTTGTTTGTCTGAACTTCAGTGTACCATCAGGTGGACTGTAGGTTTGTTTGTCACTTTAGTGAAGTCGGCTGCAGCTGTCCATGTAGCCATTAACCATCACTTGAACTGTATGTTTGTTTTTAACTTCAGTGAAGTTGGTTACACCTCTCCATGACTTGCTATATCCAATGGACTTCAAGACCCTGCTTCAGTATAATAAATCAAAGTATCCTGAGCCTGCAGATGCTCGAGTGGAGTTAGTTATTTCAATGAAGTCAGCTGCAGGTGTCCATGGACCGCTACACCTAGTGTACTATAAGTCACACTATGCACTATGTCTGTTTTTCTCAATCGATTTGGCACATACTATACAAGTGGACAGTTTATCCTTTAGTCAAGTGGCGATACAACAGTACAAAGTGCCTGATCCTTGTGGGTGCTCGAGGTGATAAAAATATAATGTTACTACAAGTCGTTAGTCTGTTCTTTCCACCTGCACACCTAGTTTTACTATAAATTATCAGTTCATTTTCCATAAGTCAGTAAGACCTGGCTCCACTATAAAAAATTCAAGGTGCCTCTACTCCACAGCTGCCCATGGACTATGACGCCTTGCTACAACCTAAGAACAACAGTCACTCAGTTATCGCGTTTGATGTTCTCGGAAAAGCCGACAGAAACAATAAATTGCTAGTGTTCTCAGAACAGGAGGTAGTTAAAAAAAATGATTTAATTTTATTTCACATTTCGACAAATTAAATAACTTAATCAGACAGTTAGTGTTCAGAAATATGTAGATTGAACCATTTTAACAACCCTAGCAGACAGTTCTCGAGTGGCCGTTAGCCACTCCACCCGCGTCTCGTGGCCCGTCTAGACAGACTGTTAATTAGTAGTTGGACTGTGAGACAGACTGTTAATTAGTAGTTGGACTGTGACCCCACTCTGGTACTACAATACTATTCTACAGTTGCATAGTACAGTAAGTGCAAATACCCTGCGGGTGCTCGAGGCGGTGCACCAGCTGCTGCACGGCGAGCAGGCAGCCGAGCTCGCGGCGGCGCGCGCCCTCCGGCTCGTGCAGCAGCCGCGCGTACTTGCGCATGCGTTCGCGGCTCAGCCGCCAAACGCCCTCGCCGCCCAGCAGCGCGTGCTCGCACACCGCCTGCATAAGCGCGCGCGCAAACCACTCCTCACCCGCGCTCTCGCCCACCTTATCCTGAACACACACATACACACACCTTACATCACTTTACATTCTCAAACACATGCTCGTTGTACATATACATCCTATGGGAGCACATACTCCCATCTTGTCCTGGACGATGCTACATGAAATCACTTCAGATAATTCATCATCACTATCATAACAGCCCTCCACAATTCCATTGCGTAACAAATAGCCTTTTTACCGGTTACAAAACATTACATATTCATCCTCAGGAGTGACTACATTGACTCGCAACAACATTATGATTCCTAATCAATCAAGGGTACATGGATCACAGTATCCACTTCGAATGCTCCTTAGTCACTCTTGTTCTATAAAAAACCGAACAATACGATTGTACGTAAGTATGCGTAGTGTATGAAGTAAGCGCACGTGTTGTTACTTTAACGGTTTATTACAAAAACTGAGTTTAATTTAGAAATATTACACATTAAAAGTAATTAACATCTACAGTCCCTAGGTATCATATTTAATACCTACGGTTATATATTTTTTTCTGCGCTCTATATCATGCAATCGTTTAACAACCGAAGCTATCACATATGATACGATTTAGTAGTTCTTAGAAAAATAAATTGGCAACACTGATACGTTAATTTTTTTGATAGCAGTTTGTCAAAGTCGTGAACCGTTACAATGTCGGGACGTCGTGATGGTAAGTTTTATTTTGTTTCGGCAATATTTTGATTGTATTTACATAATTACTAAGCTATCTACCTATTATGACGTCATAAATAAGTTTGTGGCTAAAAAATACTTGTCTGTGGTGACCCCACTTTTTAGTTGTGTATCATATATGATACCTCTGGATTCAACGACGTCTTGTTAATACATATTATGTTTTATTTATCTTTTATTTGTTTTGTATTCCAGCATTATCAGAAAGAGAAATTGAGAACTATTTGGGCAATTTCGATTCTGAAAACTCGGATTTGGATATCGAAGACAATAATGATGAAGAAGAGCTCATAGAAGGCGCTTCCAAGACTCCTCAACTATCAGATGAGGAGCAGTCATCTGATGATGATGATGAAGAGAGTAACATTTCACTCTCCCAATTGCGTGAAAGATATCCAAAATGGCGCCACAAGGATGATTTCGAACCACCTCTTATTCAAGAAATCCACAAAGATCTTGAAGATGTGTTACCCACTGTTCGTAAACCGTTTGAATATTTTAGCGAATATTTTGATGACTCCTTCTTTGAAGATCTCGTGTTGAGTTCTAACACCACTTACATGTCCCGCAATGGAAAAGATCTGCAGACAACTACCAAAGAATTGAATACATTTTTTGGAGCCAGTATTATTCTATCCTTGTTAGGTTTTCCACGACTAAGAATGGCTTGGGAGTCCCGTACAAGATATCCACTTGTAGCCGATAACATAGCAAGAGACAGATATTACCATCTTCGGAACAATCTTAGGATGGTGGATGAAAATACTGTTGCAACAGAGGTAAAGGAAAAAGATCGTTTCTGGAAAGTCAGGCCGCTCTGTGATAAAATTCGCAACAAATGTTTGCAGTATGAAAGACCGGCCAATGTCAGTATTGACGATCAAATTATTCCCTTTGAAGGACATGTTGCTATGAGACAATACGTCAAAGGGAAGCCTAATCCTGTAGGCATAAAAAATTTCGTTATGACGTCAACAAATGGCTTGCCTTTAGACTTTTTACTGTACAAAGCACAAGGTAGAGAGATAAAGTCAAACAAAGTTCCTATGCCTGAAAAGCTGGATGTTAGCGGTAAAGTTGTGCTGAATTTAGCTGATACCCTACCAGACAAAACGCATATCTATATGGATCGCTATTTTACCTCAACAGCTTTGTTTGATGCACTGTTGAAGCATCATACCATTTTGGCCTCTGGAACCATTATGGCCAGTCGTATTCCTAAAAATGTAAGACTGAAAAAAGATTCAGAGCTCAGAAAACAGAGAGGTTCTCATGACCAAACGGTAAGAAATGATGGAGTGGTATCCCTTATCAAGTGGTTTGATTATAAACCTATTCACTTCTTATCTACTGCTCATGGGGTACAACCAATCGAAAACTGTCGTCGTTGGTCAAAAAAAGACAAGAGATATATTGAAATACCTAGACCTCACGCCATAAAACGATACAACGAATGTATGGGTGGGGTAGACCTACCAGATCGAGTAATTTCCAAGTATGCCATGAGGGGAAGAACAAAGAAATAGACAATTAGGGTGCTTCACCATTTCTTTGATTTTGTTATAGCTTCTTGTTGGATTCAATACAGGCAACAAGCTCAATTGAACCAGTGGCCTAAAAAACAAATATCTTATTATTTCTTTAGATTAGATATAGCAGAGCACCTGATTTACAGTAATACAGATGATGACCAAACAAAATCAGATTCTAATGACGAACCGCCAGCTAAACAGCACAGAACGGTCTCTCTACCACCCAAGGTTGCAAGGAAATCCAAACATTGTCCCGAAATGTGCCATGATGAACAGTCTAGTAGGTCTAAATGTCGTGCTGAAGGATGCAAAAGCTTAACATTTGTTCGTTGTGACACTTGTAAGGTGTTTTTGTGTTTTACTAGGGACAGAAATTGTTTTAAGAGATTTGATTTGAATTAATTGTAATTACAGTCTCAAATAAAAGATTAAGAATGTTAATTTGTTTGACATGCTTGAGTCCCAAGGTATCAATAGTGATACCTACCTTAATTCCTAAAATTACACTAAAATATTTTTTTTTCTGATTAATTGTCTTTATTTTAGCTATAAGAACGTAAATTAATCAAAACTTTCAAGACATCAAATTTTCAAAAGTCGGGACTGAGGAGGTTAATTGGCGGCGCCTCAGATCGAACCGCGTCAGCATAAAGAAAAATATATGGTTTTTGGACCATAGTTACACGACTTCTATGAATACCACAACACGGGCACTAGAGACTACACAGTAAGTTACGCTCCATAAACCCTTATTGGGAACAATGTTTAGGAGAACTTTTTAAGAGATAACAGTCTTGGAAAGTGTCAGTGGTAAAGTTTAGCATATTTTATACATACAAAGCTACTTTGGAAAATTACTTAAATATTTTACTGTAAATATTACTTTATGCATAATAATTAGTAAAAAAGATAATTCTTTTAATATTTCAAAATTCCGAAATTTGTTGAACAAATGAAAACTAGTACTATGTTAATTTTAAAACTAGCTTACCTGTATCCATCCTCGGACACATTCACACGACTCATCAGCATTCATAAGCTGGAGCAATTTGCTTTGCACCTCAGCAGGGGTTAAAGTCTTCTTTGTTTCTTCGTTGGTCTTCTCGCCATCCAAAAATTCAAACTTGTTTTCTTGTACCCACTTTGGTACCTATAGCAATAAATATCACTATTATAATTATACTATTTGTAAGATTTTACGATAAGAAGTATTAAAGTGCATTTTTAGTCAATTGAAAGGAAATCGTTTTTACATTCCCATATTAAGACCTCATAGACAAGCAAAACACTGGACAAACATCCTGCGGGTGACGAAGGCCACAAAAGAAGACAAACCACGAGATGGGCAGTAGTGTCTTCTTAATAACAAATGGAAACAAAAAACAGCAACAAACGAAAAAAGTAGCAGTTATGGCAAATATCCCCTTATGATACAATCTAAGTAGAGGTCTATAGATGTATAATATAATAATAAAAAGTTCATTTACCTGGTCCTCACTCATCCATTGCTTCAACTCTAGACCTGATTCTTGCCATTTGCTTTTTACAAATGAAGGTCCCATACTCTCCTTCAAATAATTTATTAGTGCTTTTAGGAATAAATGTCCCTGATTCGCGGTTATAATTGTTTTCTCACATAACCTAAATATCTGAACAAATGTGATATGCTGAAAAGAAGAAAAGCAGTGTTAGAAATTCATTCTTACTAATGTCAACAATAATTTACAATGGCATAATGGTTGCATATGCAGGAAATATTGTTAAAAAGGTTCTTTTTCGGTACTGAAAAACTACTGTGTTCATTGGTTTAGATTAACAACAAAACTTGCAGAAGTTGACTTCTGCAAGCTACTCCTACCGTGTAAACAATCACGCCAAGCTCACTTCCGCAAGTTTTGTCACTTGCAGGACTTGTCGCAAGTATAAACAGCAGTTTATTTTGCTTGTAAATAAAAGTTTAAAGTTGCTGAGCAAGATGTCAGGTAAAGAAGTTTGGATGCGGGATGAAACTGTGCGGCTAATAGAGAAGTATGAACAATACAGAAAATTATGGGATAAAAAATTTTTATGCAGTTTAAAAATTTCATTCTATTGAAATTTTTAAACTGCGTAGGTTCTTCGCACCTAAGTTCTTTTAATAGATGATTTCTGGATACCAACATTATCTCGTCTTAATATCCAATTTTAATCCACTTTATATTTTTTCGTTTTTTTTTAATACTACTAAATAAGACTACTATAGCAGCAATACATATTTTTCTACAGCTTGGCATGATTATTGATCTCAACTCTAAATTTGGATCCTCTTGACTTGCATGCAAAAAATATTTCTTGTACTAGTGTAAACTCTTTTCCCAGTATTTCCACAAGTTATTTTACAGGCCGCTTGCAGAAGCAAATTGCGATAGTAATAATACTGGTAGTGTAAACGATTCTGCAAGTACTTGCGGAATAACTTGGCAGAAGTTCTTGATAATCTAAGCCCCGCTTAACATTTCAACTAAATATGACTTGAAGGTGTGAAAATATTCTATTACACAAAAATAACAATATAAAAATGGGATGTTTACCTTTTTCTCAATCTGTAGCGAAATAATTTTCCCTAGGTAATCATACAGCATGGGAACATCAATGTATAGGTCGGGCGCGATCTCGAATACGTCTGCCATACCCACAAGGAAGTTATCGGCCGATATCGTGTTAGTGGCCACCAGATGCAGCAGCGTTTTCGCCACCATTTCGAATTCCTTTGCAGATCTAAGGGCAAATTAAATTTTAATATGGAGTTTGTATACATTTAACATACCTGGTTAATGGGTTAATGTTAAAATTTAAGAACTTAAGAAATGCGCATTGATAATGAGCTGTGACGACTATAGAGAAAATTATCCTGGTGATCCTGATCAAGATACTAGGATATAGTATTAAAATACTGTATTGTTATCGGTCCTTATACAAGCAAATTTTCAAGTCAATCAGCCATTAAAATATTCTGTTACATAGATATATAGATAGAAATATAGGTGCACACAAAACTAATAAAAATGTTTAAAAAGTTTTTAGGAAGAGATATAATCCTTAATTTATAGAATGTTAATCATGTTTGACTGTTGCTTTGTAATTAGCTGAATTGGGTTGACGGATTTTGAAGTTCAAGATTTGGCAAGTTACATTTATGGTAATTATATCAATAGGATACTTTCAAGGTGTTAGGCCACCCCTTCGATGGAGTGACCACCTAGTAAAACTAAGGGAAGACATGCAGAAAGTCAATGGATACAGGTGGCTGGGGCCATATTTTGTGGCGTTCTTTGGGGTGCTTTCTTGAATCGTAACTCTGCAAATGTATCATTTCATCAATTATTAATGAACTCCGCAGTCATGTTCTTGATTGATAATTTTCTTGTTTCAAAAATACTTATCTACCACCATCTTAACTTTATAATGCATAAATTGTTATTTTAGTGCACCCTACTCTTTATTCTTCCCCTTATTTTTATGTAAGTGATCTTTTTCTGGTTGTATATGCCTTTTTTCCCTCAATATTTATTACTGTAATGTTAATCTTTCCTTAGTGTACAATAAAGAGTATTGCATTGTATTGTATACTTACTTCTCGAGCACCAAGTTGATTATCTCGGTGATGACCGCGGCGTGGTACTGCGGCGGGAAGAGCTGCTTCACGTCAATGGCTGCCTCATCGATGTCAGAGTTGATGAGGCACTGGTCGATCACAGACTTGACGGACATCTTTTTGGCCTCGGTAAGGGGTTCCGCGGGCACAGGTGCTGGCGGTGGGGGCTCCGCTGCCACGGGCCGGCTGCTTGAAGTCGAGCGCGCTACGCCACTGGTGGAGCCTGAGCGTCCACCACTACCAGAGTCTGGAATCATAAGTTTTATTTTAATATAGATTAAAAATCAAAATGCAGATGGGTTTTTAACCAGGACTAAGTTGAATGCCTCATTTCTAGTAAAAAGGGTCTCCAGTTCTCTACACTCACCATATGAAATACAGTAGCATTAAGCTGCTACTTTACACCAGTGTTCTGTGAGAGCGTGGTCCTGTCCCGCTTGAGCTGACCCATACCACGATATAATAAAAAAATAAGTTCAAATTTTAAAAATAGAACTCTGTCAATATTATTGTGTATGTATTTCATTAATTCGTCATTTCTTTACGATTTAGCGGCAAATTAAAAATTGTCTATGTCACGTCAGCATGAATTTAACATGAGAAAGTTTTCATACAAGGGAGATTTTTTATGATGTCATTTAAGTCAACAAGAAAGCTATGATAGGTTTCGACTGGCCTTTCACGATCAATTCCCATTTCGCGTCACTTCTTACAAGTACTGGTACCATTAAAAACACTGCTTCTCTACACACACCATACGAAAACCAGCTGCATTATGCTGCTATTTCTCATTAGTATTCTGGAGGAGTATAGTCCTACTGTTAACTTGTCATTCTAAAGGTGAAGGTGAAAAAAAGAAAAAGGTGAATCATACTTTTTCTCTCCCTTTCCTTCACAAGGTCTGGCAAGATCAACGCACACATCAGTTTTCCGCGGTGGCGATTGTTAGGATTCTAGTGATCATTATAATTGTCATGATGTTTTTTAGAGTTCTCACACATACTCATTAGAAGATCTTAAAAATATCAACATCCATTTAAATAGTAGACAGAGCTACATATTCTAGGGAAAGAGTTTTAGATATAAGCAATGATTACTTACTGAAGTCACCTCTCGAGTTGAATGTTGACCTCTCTATAGAAGCACCCTTTGAATAGTTCGGCGTCAAATCTTGACTTGCTACAAGCAATAAGACATAATAACGGTTATTAACATCATATTAAAGTCCTAACTGAACACATGACTACAACTAAATATGTGCAAATTGATCGGTAATTTATGCACATCTTTGTTTGCACATTTTAAATAATATTACTATCTAAGACGCTCTTTTTGTTGTTGATATTACACGCATTAGAACCAAACAGTTTGCATCTTTCAAAAAGCATACAGCAAAGGAGTGGAATAATTTGCAGGCGTCTCTTTCCGCCCGAAAGCAATCTGCGGCTTCTGTTACTCTAAGACAGTGCGATTTACCACCTAGGGCATTTTTTATAAGCACTGGATTACAAATAATTAAAAAAAACGGGCATGTTACGCAGATATCCGTTTTTTTTTTCACACAATCAATTGGACAAATTATGTCATTTGTCGATGTTCATACAGCTAAATGTCTCAGTTATTATTAAAAACCTATGTTAAACACTTAATAGCCTGTGGTCAAACAGTCACACAAAGTACAGATTGTCGCCAAATAATTATAAAATGTTACCAACAAATAATTACTGACGACAGATTGACTGAACAAGCTGTTAAGGTTCATGAAGACGGTGGCAGTTAAGGAACTTCTTTTATGATAAAGACTCTTCTCTTAAAATGAGACGCAATAAACCATGGATGGAGCGTAGAGCTAAGGAGAATCATCTCACATGGGAGAATAGCTGTAAGTGTCCACCAGTAAGCAGTAAATACAGTTAAAAAACTCTCCATGACAATACGAACAACGACAACATGAACTTAGCAGTTGTCGACGGAGTGAAGTGTGCAAGTTAAGGAATTTAATAGTTGTGATGACTAGTTAGTAGTTAGTAGACACGTGGTCTAAAATAATTTAATAAATATAACTAGAAAAAGTTGCCGTAAAACACGTAGAGTGACGTTGAAAACAATAAAATACTTATTAAAAAGAGAATTATGATGAAATTTGGTACAATAAAAAGTTTTTTAAAAATTGCCCTATAGCTACAGTGGCGCCACCCTTATTTAACACTTTTCAACGGACACTTTTTTACACAGGACCTGTTTCTCCTTACCTCTACACTCTATAAAACCATGTCTTGTAAAAACATAGAGTAACTTGTATAGTGTAATAAAAACATTAGTTCTGTCTAAGTAAAACAAGATTTGATTGATCAATTCATGTTATTTATGATTCTAAAAATTGGTCAAAAATTTACTTTAATATGCAATCTTAAGCAACTATAGTGTGTCCATGCTGTACTTCTATAAACATGTGCAAATAATAATTAATGAATTAAAATGGAGATGAAAAATAACATTCTAGAATAAAAGTCAATAGAATGCATAGATCAAATTGGTTTTAGATTGTGTTCATTTAATAACAATATGACCTTTTAGTAGCCAATATTTTCGCCAAATAAATATAATTATTATATTTAACGCAAAACAACTACTGCAAACATGGCAAGGTCCTTGAAGTCTAAAAAGTGTCATGGGCTGGTGAATTTAAAAGAAATGCTATTTTAATGTGTCGATGTAAATTATTTAACATGAAAGTGTTGACTTTTACAGATTGATGAAAAAAAGCATTAAAATAAGCACTGGACACTTGCGCACATAGCAGTTGGATTTTAACCAATTACACAATTGATTTGTTGACAGTTATGTCAATTGTTGATTGTTGACATCACCAGAGCCAGAATGTAATTTATTGATGAAATTTAAAATTTCATCATTTTTTTCACAAACACACAGATTCTATAGTTCATAGACATCTACATCTATCCTCAATTAAGAATCAAAATGCAGATGTGTTGCCACCCCTGAGGATTAAGGTAGAATGCCTCATTTCCTGTAAAAGGGATCTCTGGTTCTCTACACTTACCATACGAAACACAACAGCACTAAGCTGCCATTTTACGATGGTATTCTGTGAGACGTGTTCTTTCCCCAGTACAGCCGATCCATTCCTGCTACAACCATTATATAACTGCAGAATGGCTCTACCACGTAATAATTGCACATACTACTAGTGCGGTTAAAGAATGGTATTGAAAATGGCGTCGCCTCTAATCACCTCTCGCTCGCACAGTGTCGCTATCTATAGTCACACCCACCAGCAAAGACCGTAAAACAATATACGTTGCGATATGGGTTTTTCGTACGTTCTATTACTTCAGTCCAACTTCTCATTGGAATCAATGATAACAAACTGCCATACTACAAAAATAAATTCAGTATGGTTTTGCTTATTTGTGAGCCATGAATGTTCAGAGTTTTCTTCATAATTATTTTTGATATTGTTTGTTAATATTTTTATGACATATTTACATGTTATTGAGACATAAGTAACCATTTATAAAATTACAATTTAACTTTCTGTCTGATGATCTTTGGAATGACTGAACCGATTGCAATAAATCTTCACAAACAAATAGAAAGTAATATCAGGGGTGACCTAGACTAAATTTTATCCGAAAAATTTAGAGATTTTATTAAAATAGAAATATGGATATGATAAAATAAATGGTTAAAAGATAAAAATAAATGTTATTATAAAATGAATGTACCTATTTACGTATACAATTCTTTTACAATATTTTCCTACATATGGGCTCGATGAGCCGCCATTTCCAATCCCAATATTTATCTGTGTGGACTATTTACTGTTAACACATAGACTGATTGACTTTAAATCACATAATATTACATGTTGTTGTTGTTATAGCACCACCTTTGTTTATCATTACTCATTAGTAATGTTATCACCGATTCACCAGTAGTTCAACTGAAAATAATAAATTGTTGCCAACCTGCTTGCGAACTATGGTTTATATTTGGCAGTGGACTTTAACAAGCCGTAACGGCAACGGTAATGGCAATAATAACATTTTATAATAAAAAAAACTGAGATTTAGATTTATAGACTATATTTTTAGATTCTTTGACAGCACAAACCTCTTAGCGATGTGGGATCCACCTGTACATTCTCAAGCATACTGTATTGGTTCTTGGTGAGACTGATCATGGAATTACTGCTGGCCTGTACAGTGTTCTTTGTCCCTGAGCCGTAATTCCAGCCACCGTTTTGAGGCGCCAGCTTTATATTGCTAAGGTTCTGAAAAACAAAAGGCAAATATTAATTTCTTATTTTACTCAAAACATCATTTAGTTGAGTTTTTATGCTTTAAAGTACTTTGATTTTTTATAGAATTTTATAGAATAAACGAGTGCACAGTCCACATGATGGTGAGTAGAAGCCGTGCTCCATAGACATCTACATAGAATATATATAGAGAATAGATATAGACATCTATATCTATTTTCGATTAAGAATCTAAATGCAAATACATAGTCACCCCTGAGGACTAAGAGGGAATGCATTGTTTGAAGTAAAAAGGATTTCCAGTTCTCTCTCACCACATGCTATTATATGCTGGTATTGTGAGTTTATGTTCCTCCCTAATCGAGTTTGAATCGAGCATGACCCATTCATGCAACAACCATAATGTAGCATAGTTAAAATTACATTATAATATTTTTAAAACATATTTTTGTAACTACCTTACCTAAACTAAGTTACCCTTACCTTTTGTGTGCCAGCTGTGACAGCCTTGAGTTTTGATGTGTCCACAGTGTAATTGGTGCGTGGCGACTTCCAATTGTTATCCATGAAGGCATTATTGCCTTGCCGACGAGCATCACCTCCGCGTTTACCACGACCACCATCGTCACGGCGTCCGTAGCCCATCGGGTTTGCGTTCATGAGCTGTCCAACAAATTACGTCATAATATCCATTGTTAATTAGAAAATTGGTTATTGTTATTGGTATAGTCCGGACGCGAAGCAGGAAGAATTTCGTACGTTAACCTTTTGTTACCTGTCTCTGTCACTCCCGCGTAAATATAATGCGTCTCACTCGCACAGATGCAATGACCGCCGTCCTCAGGGATTGTAAATATTTTATCTGAAACTGCATTGTTTCCATGTGGTTTTTAGTTGGCTTTGAGTCACAACTAAAAATCCTTGGCTTGCTTGACATTATTAATAATTTTTAAATAACATTCGAACGACATTCCATCTTGGGATGCGATAGTGATCGCTTAGTTTTCGGACACAGTTATCCCAAATATCTATTTTTAGTTTGTTATTTTGTTTTAATTGTTAAGTGGTTTTATTAATTTGTGAAGTTTTCTTCACTGTTTTTAAAATGGAATCAGCGCCGTCTACCTCGCATCCATTCAAGGAGATTGTTTCTCCGCTGAAGAAAAGAAAAATGTCGCACTTTAGTGAGTCTGAGAAGGTAATGATTATTAACGTGTTTAAATACGTTAAAGAATCCTGGCTGATAAATATCCTTAAAAAAAGAAATGAAGGACAAAACAGCCCGTATCTTGAGCATTTCAAAATTGGCCATATATCGTACTATAAAAGAATATACCGAAACAGACACCGTCAAGCGAGACTTGAGCCAAACATTGTGGTTGTCATGAATAATGCCAGCTACCACTCAAGAAGCCAGGAGAAAATCCCAGTTACTAGTTGGAAAAAACCAGACATCCAAGAATGGCTTTCATCAAAATATTTCTTTTGAAGCAAAGGAAACAAATATCCAGCTCTTAGATAAGGTGAAAGGTGTCAAAACTCAGTACCAATCATACGTGGTGGATGAGATGGCAAAAGCAGTTGGTGAGGTATTGAGATTACCTCCATACCACTGTGAATTATATCTGATCGAACTAGTTTGGGCAGATGTCAAGGGTATGTGGCCCGGAAAAATACCACATTTAAGATAGAAGATGTTAAAAAACTTCTCCAGGAGGCTTTAGGAAACATTTCAGCAGAAAAATGGCAAAAACTGCATCAGTCATGTAAAAAGGAGGAATCGAAATTAGATAGACTAGATGATAATGTAGACAAAACTGTTGATTCTTTTATAATAAATGTGATTAGGCGAGACATCGTCAGAAAGCAGTAACTCCGATACAGAGAAATTGGATTCTGATTTTTGAATTTTCATTTTTTTATTTCTGCCAAATAATTTTAACTCGATTTTTATGTTTTTATACTAAAATATAAAATATTTCATATAAACCGCACATAATACAAAAATGTTTGGGACCACTGTCAGTAGGCAAAGAGGTCATTGTACGAAATTCTTCCTGCTCCGCGGCTGGACTTTAGTAGGTTATTGATGCAGTTTTGAATAAAACTAATTTTTCAAATGACTTATTATGTTTTGAACTTGTTTTTATAATCCCAATTTTTCGTTCCATTAAACTCGTTTTTTCTTGATTTGAATAAATATTCCACCTAGTTCTACAGGGGTTGTCACCCCTGTAGAACTAGGTGTAGTGCTATGTTTCCAGTAAAAAGATTATCCGGTTCTTTACACTCAGTATACAAAACGCAGCAGAATGCCTTAAAGGTTTTCTTTCTTAAATATTTGTTCGATTAGAGATTTCGCTCATTTGATGTGTCCTCACCGCCACTTGTACTGCAGTAAAATATAACTGGTTGTACACTAAACGATTAACACTACACTAGACGAAAATACCTTGCACTTCTAAAATATAAGATGTATAATTAAAAGATTCGTGTTTTCAAAATATATCATACCAGATTTGAAATTGTGGAAAAAGATATTATTAACCGAAAATTCGCTTAGAATAACTAAATTTAATTATGAGATATTTACAGACGCGTGCTTCACAGGTTGGAGCGCTAGTCGTAATAATGTTCGTATTGGTGGAGGATGGGAACACTATGAACTCGACTACAATATCAATTACCTACAGTTACTCACCATATTTTTATGTATTATTAATAAATGTTGTTAAAAAAACCTCTGCATCATGAGGGTATATCATTCCCCAAGTGGAGAATAATTGCAGGTAATTAACATCATATAGGAATCTTTCTGGTATAAAATATAAATTAAGTCAGCAGGTATATAGTAGTGCAGGTATGTAGTATAAAAGCAAGATTTAATGAATTCATAATCAATGTTATAAATTCATATTCATTTAATATTTCACTGTATGCTATCTTTATGTTCTTTATATTTTCAGAGTACCTTCGGAATTCGTAGTAATCTGAAGTAATAATTTATCTGTACCCTTTATTGTTTAAATTATGATGAAATGTCATTTGGCAACAATACAATGAAATGGGCAAAAATACAATGAAGTGAGTGAGTTTGATCATAATCATTATCATTACATTTTAAATGAAAAAGAAAATCTCTGAAAAGGAAACAACTGTTACCTCAATATGCCGTTGTTGCTGTTCAGCTTCTTTCTGGATCTGGTCCATCATTTTAGGCTGTGAGTCAACCACACTCTTCACAACCCAACGTCTCTGTCGGAGCTCAATTACATCTTTGATCATGAAGCGCACACGACTGCTGATTTTATTAGATTTGTGATCTACAATATCTTGCATTTTCTTAAATACAAGCTCTAGCTGATCTTTGACCTCACCCTCCAGCTGGTAACAAAGAAATAACACTTGCATTTAGGTCAAAATCAAGTTGAATGGACACTTAATTTTACCTAGTTTACTATACTGTGGAGATTCAAAATATACAAGAGAACAGTGGTAGGTCAGAGGTTATGTGCTTGCTGTAAATTTCAAAGTTTTTAAAGGATATGTAACATCTGCCAACATAATATACTGGAACAGTGCATGACTAATTCAGGGGTCTAATAACTCTCCAAGATTAATGAAAGAATGAGAAAGGACTTGTATCCAATAGTAGGATGTAATAAACTGTAACTTCACTTCGAAACTTAATGAACTTTTTTAAATTAACAAACAAAATTTACGGTACTGTAAATGCAAAGCTCAAAAAAATTGGAATGGCCACCACGTGATAGCACAAGAAAAAAAACAGACAAGCTAAAACTGGTCAAGCAAAGTTCACAACAAAGAATAAGACAACTGAATATGGTCTATGTGTCACAGAATGCACTGATCACTATACCAGGAAATCTAATGTGATAGATAAGTTAAAACAGTTTGATACTAAAAAATTACAATATTTAGTATCAGCAATAAAGGCTTAATAAAAAAGGAACGCTAGATTTTTTTTCAGACGACATGGTCGTCTTTCCTAGGGAGGATAAGAGAATGTCAGGCTTGCCAGGCGAATTAAGAATAACAGTATATTTCGCACCTATGAGGATTTTGCTCGTCGCCAGTCTGTGTAATAAGTCTGACGCAAATTAGATGGTACCATAACTGAGATGTAAAAGAGTTATGAAAGTTAAAGACCTTTGCACTGTTGACATTGCTTCCAGTCTGGGAATTTCGCACTTTGTGTAAACAAGATGGTTATACCACTATCTATTGGGAGCCAGAAGATTTATATCGGCATATCCCATGGATTTCATTACGCCGCCACTACATGGGAAATCTTAATTTGTGTAATTTAATAATGCAATAGAATTATAATATTTAATTGTAGTAATGTTGATAAAGTTGTAGAAACTCAGTTAACCCTACAGATGCCTACATAACTATGTACCAGCGATTTTTTGTTGCAAACTAAACTGTTTTTCAAGCATACAGTTGTGTATTTATAATTAATAAACAAAACTTTGATCATACCTGTTCACCAATTGTGGTGAGCAATTTGCAGAGGCACTCTAATTTTTCTTCTTCAAGCTTATCAACCAAGTAATTCATACAAAATACCATAATTTTTGATGTCAACATTTTCAATTTGTACAGCTCACCTGCAAAGTAAATGCATTGTCAATGTCCATGTAACAAGAACATATGGGCAATTAATTAATTGACATGATGTTAGCAATGCTATTGAGTACAAATGGTGAGCATATGGGGCTTAAGTGCGCTACGCCAGCAGGAAAATTTTGTAAATGCAAACAATAAAAATTAAATGAGAAAATAGTAAATGGATCTGGGTCATGACACAAGGTCATCAAAAAATCAAATCATTCAAATGACATCACTTAGATAGATAAATAAAATGAAACATCATATAGAATTTAATTTTTTATATGTTTAATATGTATTTCATACTGCCCTCTTGTTTCAGATTTTTATACACTATTTATCTTAATTTTAACTTTTTAATAATAATGTTTTCACACCTGAACATGCAGAGAGCTAAAATAAAAATCAGTTTTACATTTTGTTGCTATTAATATTATATATTAATAAAGGTCTTCCCTGCAAATAAAATGGTGAAGCGCTCATTAACGTGCATATATAATGAGCATGCATTAACATAAAGCATTGTCTGAACCTTTAATTGTAAAATTCTTAATGATTCCATGGCAGACATTAATAAATAATAGCACTATAGTTGCGACTCAAAACAACTCAAGACCTTGATTTAAATATATACAGTGATTTGAATATCCATCTAAGGCATTTTTGTGATTTTATACCGAAAGCTGTAGTCACTGTTTTACAAGCACATACTTTGTTTTAATATCTAAAAAACTGCACAGGAATTTAACAATGCATAAAAATTAGATTAAAGAATTTCTATAGGCCATGGGATAGTTTAATGAGCTTATCATCATACATTTCTGTAGACAAAAATATTGTTTTCATATAAAATTATTACAGAGGAATTAACTTTCGCTCATAGCAAATATTATTGTACAATACAGCTGTGCATTAACATAATATTAGCTTAACCAATTGCAAATTAATAGCAAACTATCATTCAAAGTACCGCATAATCGAATTTGATGTATACAGCCTTTTTAATTTAATCTCAAAGTGATGGGGTGTAGAGAAAAAAAAAAACACGGAATAATTATAAAAATTTCGCATTAGCATAATTAAGAACATTCGCCTGCAGTAACAACATCTAGGCAAATTACCTATTAACTGATTCATTCATTACGTCTAACAAACTACTAAAAGTTGGTCTACGACATTCTCAAGCTTTATGTAATATACATAGGATATTTAGCAAGATAACTAAGAAAATTGTATATTAACTTCCTAGCAAACTAAATGCTTTCGTGGCACAAAACATATATAATAAATTAAAAGTTTCCATCATAAATGCATTTTTCAATGCTAATGTTGTGAATTACATTAAACTATAAATATGAAGAAAACTCACCAATAAACCTGACATTTCCTACAGATCTCATTCTCAACTTTCTACTTTCTTCTTCTAAATGCAACTGCAATTCCTTCTTTTTGACCTGGAAGAGAATATTTAAGAAAAGCTTTTTAGTTTTTTTTATAGTAAGGAATTTTACACAAGAAGTAATTTTAAAAGCGCCAATCTATATTTATATAATACGCACTTGAGCTATATAATATGTTTATTTAAGGATAATTGTAGCACAGATGGTACATAAAAATGAAATTGCCTACGTTCTAAAAAATAAGAGTCATGCATTGTATTATAAATTAGCCATCAAATATTGTACAACACAACATAGATAAAACTAAAAATAAGAGCTAGTACAAAGGTTATACTCACAGGGTCAGTGCATTCATTCATTTCTTTCTCTAATTTCAGTATGTTTTCATCAACTTTTGCAGTGACAAATTGGTTCTGACACTTACTGATGATGAGAGCTCGGAAATTGACGTATTGGTCTGCAGGAGCATTATCAGCGGGCACCTGCAAAACAGCTATATTATTAATATCTAACAAATATGTACAATTGGATTGAATTTATTCTGACACTATTTGGTACAGGTATAAAACGGTGGCTTATAAATTTTTTTAAATGAATAAGGGCGACAATCGAGCACACAGTTCATTTGATAGTAAACGGATAGTGTGGCCCAGACATTTACATTTATCCTAAATTGATAATCAAAATGTAGGAGCGCTGTCACCCCCCAGGAATGACAGGGAATGCTTAGTTGCAAGTAAAAAGGGGTCTCCAGTTCCTTACACTCACTGTACACTGTATACAGCAGCATTAAGCTACCATTTTACACTGGCATTCTGTGAGAGCGTCATCCTACCCCAGTTGAGCAGACACATTTGTGCTATAAGCATAATAATATAGCTGAAGCATGCTCTACCTATATATGTTAGATCATTACATTCTAGAAAGACAGTAAAATATTGACCTTGATTGTTGTAAGCTTGTTGCACATGTTGGCGTAGGCCTCAGAAAAGTTAGGTTCATCTATGGCCTTCTCAAATACCAAATCGATGATTCCTTCAAGTCGACTTTGATTGTTGATCTCCAGTGTTTTCACTTTCTCCATCAAAGTGTCAAACTTCTGTGGTGTCAGCTTATTCAGAATACCTCTGAATTTTTTGTACAACTCCTAGAAAAGAAAAGAATGTGAGATGGACAGTCAATTATTGTTACCAAGAATAACAATCAAATTGTTCAAATTATTTGCTAATCGGTTATCGGAATTTTTTTTTCAATACTGCCCCAGCTTTGCATTGATCTCGAGTGGATCTCGAGAACAGCGCCACCTACCGGGGTCAATAGTGAATCACAAGTGACCGCACTCAAACACACACAATTTTTTTTTGTCAAAATCAGTCCAGCCATTTTTTTGCGAGACTAACGGACAGTTATTTATTTTATATATAAGAGAAAAAGAAGAAAGATTATAAACTACTAAAAGTCACTTGTATACCTAAACTGACAACCTAAAATAAACTCATACAAAATTATTCAAATTAATTCCTGGTATTCAAATGTTCTTAATGATCTGATACTGTCTTTAAAGAGGCAAAATAGGGGGGAGGTTTTAATGGAACTATTAAGATGACTGAGATTATATGTTCCATAGTCCCTTCAAAAGGGTCAAAATATTATCTTTTAACAAAAAGTAAAAACTGTCTTCAAACAATTAAAAACAACATGAAGTAATTTAGTCAGTCTTTAATTATTCTATACAATATGTCTTAGCACCATCAACAGAATGGGAAATTATTTCATATTATTTCTGTTTCTGCTTGAAGTAGGCTTCAACTTTTTATTAAAAATTTATTTTAGTAAGTAATCTCCTTCGCATTGAACTATTTTTATAGATTTTTTCTGTTCAATAAACATGTTATTCATCCAGTGCTGTTTTTGTTTGTGATTTGGTGACATAAGACAGCTGAAAATCGAAACTCTTTGTTCAGCAGTGGACTTTCATAGGCTGTAGTGGATGGATGGTTTTATTTAGCACACAGTGTGTTCAAACATTTATCTTTTTATGTCTTGACCTAAAGCTAGAAGACAAGTATCATTTTGTATATGCCCATATTTACTTTACTGCTGGATTTTAAAATCCGATTTCAGTCCATTGTGCGTCAACAAAAAAAAAATATATATATATTATGTATTGATGATATAAAAAATATTAGTAACTGACATTAATTTTTGTTCTAACCGTCCTAATAGTCAATTTTCACATTCGCCCATCTCTAAAAATAATGCCTTCCCCACTTATCTATCAGGGCCATTGTGTTTTATCTCTTCTCTAATCCGAATCAAATCAATTTTAATTTATGAAGTTGCATAATTTTTCTGAAAAATAAATTAATATTGAAGAAAAAATTTACTTGTGTCTTGTATTCTTCTTCACTCAGATTAGCATTCTTCAGCCTAGTAGGTTTCCAGGCGTCCTTAGTTTGGTTCAACTTTACTTCTTCTCTTGTTAAGGAGACACGTATTACATTCTTGTGAGGATTGTTACCGCTGGAAGCTTGGCTCATTTTCATGCTACCTTTACCTGCATAACATGTAAACATCACTATTTGCAATTCTATGATTAATACATAAAGTAACAATTAGTGCAATATTTTTGGCACAAAGTATTTATTACCACTGTTAGGCATATTTCTTCCATCTTTCTTCGGCTCACGTGGAGTATTACTTCTAGAACCCACACCTGAATTTTTGGCAAAATTAGGAAACAGTGAATCATTCATAGGTCTTGTGATAGGGTTGAATGGCTGGGGCTCTTGATGTGGAGTAGTCTACAAAAAGCAAACACCATGAATTCCAAAAATAAATTTTTTTTGATTAATATATCTTTGCGTGCAATAAACTTACCCTTATAACATTCAAAGCCTCTAATAAAGGTGCATTAGGCTTGTTCTTTGATAGAGGATTATCCTTAATTTGCATCATCAATCCAATGTCATAGCACTTTTTGCCAGACTTATTTACTGGAGACCATTGATCTATAAAATATAAGATATATTAGTGATTAAAAATGACATATTATGTTTTACTATATATGAAACAAAATTAAGTGTAGTATAAAATAAGAATCTACTATTTATGAGCATAAAAGCAATTTTAATTTCCTAATAAAATACAGAATAATATATATGTTTCTTTTGGTGTACTATATATTTCAATATGTACATTATTATGTCTTATGTAATTCAGATAATATGATAATTTATTAACAGAATTTTATGCTACACTATCATTTTTCATTATTTAAGGATACTTTTATTTCAAAAATCAATACAAATATACAGCTGAGGACTAAGCTGGAATGCTTTGTTTGCAGTAAAGAGGGTCTCTAGATCTCTACACTCACCATACGAAACACAGCAGTATTAAGCTGCTATTTTATGCTGGTATTCTATGAGAGCGTGGTCCTGTTCTGATCAACCAGACTCATTCGTGCCACAACCATAATATAGCTGCAGCATGGCTTCACCACATATAAAAGGTGCTCGGTTTGAGCTTGACAGAAAGTAAGTCATGTGGTGTATATATAACATGACTGAACCAAACAGAACCAAAAAATTGGCACCATGCAATCTTTTCCAGAAGGCTAATATTTTAACACTTTCAATTATTATTTTTTGATTATATATATATATATATATATATATATATGGAAAAATATAAACTTATTTAAAATAAAATGGACTATATGCTGTAGGTTGGGTTGTGATATGTTAGAAAATCCTCAATTAAGATTAGCTAAAACTAGTATGTATTTTTTGAGTAAATCCATAAGATATTACAATAAAATTTCTAGAATATTAGGCAACAATGACACAAAATTAAAAATTTTGTTAATAAAGCGTACTGTAAAAGAAATCAATCTATTGAGGAAAATAATAGGTGGAAATAACTCAGAGTAAGAGCTATACTGTGTACTTGCAAGTGCCCTGGCAACTGATATAATATTTTTTTTGTTAAAACTGACATTTTAGAAATATTAATTGACCTTTGACATTGTATTATAAATTACGATAACTGTAAATGAAATTTAAGCAAAGATTTAAAAAAGAAACACCAGGGCGTTTCTTGCCAGTTTCTTCTCCCAGGTCATGTTTTTGACAACCAGTGTAGATTTTGATGATTATGTAAGCTTAAAGCAAATCTAAATTTATAAAAAGTTTCGACTGATTTTGTAAAACTGTGCCTAAACTCATTGCCCATGAGGCAATCTATGGGGGAGGCTTATATTCAGTACTGAACTTATGATAGAATGTAATCAATTAATGAAAAATATCCAACCAATATTTGGACTGTGTAAGCCCAACCCTAACTCTAATGAGTGTTTCATGTTCAACAGTCAGACATCGCCTGCCTGTCATTTTCCTACTCATAAAAAATTTTCATTAAATGATAACATGAGGCATGTAGGGCTTCGCTGCAGCTAGATTATGGTCATAGCACAACTCCTCAACCTTAACTCTGACATAAATGTAGATATTTATGGACCACAACATACACTTACCAACAGGTGGACCATGTGCACCTTTATGACCCTTATTCTATAAAAAAAAATGGAGAACATGCAAGTGTTTATTGTGAGACGATAACAGCATATTTTAATACTGCAAACTAACCTTCATTATATTTGTACTTAGGTACAAAGACAGCTGGAGCTGGTGCAGACTCAGCTTTTTCAATGGCAGGTGTCTGCTCAACTACCTCTTCAGTCTTAGATAGGACTTGTTCCTGTTCATTACTTATTTTATCAGTCTCATTTTTACCATTTTCATGTGTTTCAGTTTCTTTTGTTTCATTATTTGCCATTTTATTGCCCTTCTTACTACTTTTAGTGTTCTTAATTACTTTATCATTTTTGTTAATATCTTCCTTCACAGTTTCAGGTTTTGTTTGTGTTACTTCAATGGTGTTTCCATTGGCTGCATCCGGATCTAGCATTGAAAAGTAATATTTTAAGTAATAAATGTAAAATATAAAACTAAAATATCATCAACAGTTGAAATTGTCACCATTTAACTACAGTATACATTTATTATATAACTAAACATAATTAAATTCGATTAAAATTACTGTGGTTCTTTCAATCAAAAAAACATATTGTAAACTAAAACTATATTACAATTATAATACTAATTGTAAAAATGTTTTAGTTATCTTAAAACACTGTGATACTCCAGGGTTTCATCACAATTTCCACCATGTGGGGTTGAAGGCAAACACTGGTTTATAATTTATATGGTTTGAATTGAAAGAACCAAACATACAATCATACATAAAGGAAACACACCTGTTGTTTTAATATTAAGGTTAATATCTTTCATCTTAGATTCAGGGTGAGCACGTACACAACTTGTTATACTTTGAGTTAATTTGGCTTGAGCTTGTATTGCACTGGACGCTTCTTTACTTTCACTAGTCGTTTGTGGAACAGAGGGCAGTTCTCTAGCAAGTTTTTCTATACTTGCTGATAGAAGTTCTGTGGCAGTAGGCGCTGACGTCTCAGGGAATGTTGGCTCGTTATTGTTATCAATTTCAATCTTAGTTTCGGGTGTTTGTGGCACTTGTAGATTTGGAGGTGAAGATTCCTTGCTTACTATTGGAGTCTTTGTTTCAGTTAATATTGCTTGACTGCCTTGACTAGTTTCAGGATTAATAATTTCTGGTATACTATCAACAGAACTCACTGCAATAATAAAATAATCATATTACAAAGAATGCGTAATATATACTAATTACATTCAGTTGCACCTGTAATTGCTATTATTTAAGAAATAAAATATTATGCAATATTGCTTTATGTTACGATATTTATAAAATTTTAACAGTAATATTTTTTTCATGAATTTTAATATATTGGGGTAAAAAACAATAAAGATATTTAATATGTTCCCAGTGTAAGCATAGTTCGAATCCCACTGAAACCAACGAAATTGTTAACTCCTTCTCAGCTGCATGTCTCTGTCAAATATCCCATGGGTATTGTAAGAGGTGACAAAGAAAAGGACATTTTCCTGGCTATGAGTCAGTCTGAATGGATAAGCTCCAACCGTTCACTCTAAAGGGTGGCCAGTATAATTACAAGGTGTGAGGCTTTCCATCCAGGTCCTTTTTTATTTGAGATTGAACACAGACGCACACGGACTGCAGTGGCTGTTCACTGTCAGGTGGACAGTAAGTTTGATTGTCACTTAAGTTTTATAAGCAATAAAATATTACATAAATGGTAAAGAACCAATAAAACGAAGGAGCAAAAACAAAAACGAAACATATGCTACAGTTTTTGAACAAGCAAAACCATTACATATTGTAAGAATATGCTGGCATGAATTACAAGAATGACATTACTCAATAAATTAACATGGTTATATTGTTAGCTAAAAAGGAAAATCTCGGATAATGGATGAAATAAATGAAAGTATTTCAACGAAATAAGTTAGAAATCGCTTGTCAAAATGGAGGTCACAAATAATTTGCCAAGCAATATGGAAAACTGAGCAAATGTAATTTATTAGGTAATAGATAAAGTAACAACGTTCTTTCATAGTAATAAAGCAGGGTAATATGACAAAATGGCAGGATAGTTACATCGCAAGACACAATTGCCTAATGATATAGCACGACGACTAAACTTGTATGGTATCGTAATGTGAGCTCAATTTATCGGTTAAAAACTATACATGTTGAGATATTGTCATTTCTTCGATTAATAATCTCGCCTATAACATTTTGTGAAGCAAGTTGGTAGTCTATAAATAGAGACGTGAGTTATTTCCACGTGGGAGTTCCGTCTCGCACAGTACCTGAATATCAGATTAAAATATGTAGTACTGATATCTTAACTATATCACAGTCTTTAAATCCACACAATTTCACTCTAATGTATAAGGTTTGATCACGTAGCAATATGGTAAAAGAAAGTATAATCCAAAAGGTCACTCAAGGATCTAGAGTGTCTGCACACTTTTAGCACTCGTCTCACTTCATTACTTATTAGTTAAACTTAAATATGTTAAAAACTATTAATAATATGTAAAAACAGTTATTGTAAAAAACCAAGAGTAGTAAATAATGTTTAAAAATATTTAAAACGCAGCCACGCTCCAAGTGACTGTGAAGTAAAAGCCGCCATGTTGAATCGTTCCATGCGGACAGGCGACCTAGTGAAACTAGTGTTGTGCGCAAGTACATTCGAAATCGATCGATACTATTATTCGGTTTTAATAATTATCGGATGAACACATTCAAAATATATTTTAAACAATTAATAATTAAATAAATAATAAATAATTAGAAGCAATATTTTTATTAAATGAAAAAATTTTATCACGCTACTTTGTGCTTCATTTTCTTAAAATAAAATTGAAATTTTATAGCAAAACTTCACAAATTTTTACGTTGAAACCAATAAAAGGTCACTATATATATTATATATATATATATATATATATATACATATTTACGGTTAATATATAGCATTTATACGCATGTATAGCACATTTTAATTATTATTAATTCATATGTTATATATATTAATTCATGTTTTTAAAGGTTTTCATTTAATGACACGAGATCGTGCACATAATGGATTCAGAGGATATAGGATATATAAGGTTCATGCAAACACGTGACCGTGTAACCGTAATACCTTAATTTGTAAGTAAAAATGGTTCGAGCGTTAATACGTTAATATAAAGTTAGAAATATCGTTCGGGCGTAGATGCTCACAATGTATCCGAACGATTGCAAGTCCCCATGTTGTGTATGAGATGTATACAGGGCTGCTATACTGTATATTTAAATTTAATTATGTAGATTGCTATGCCTAATGGGCACAAGATATTCAAAAATAAAATCCATAAAAACCACACAAAAATTTCCTGTTAATCAAGTGTAAGTAGAAAATAAATAGATTTCTTGAAGTGAAAACTTTTTTAGAATCGTTGTGATTTGAAACTCGATGAACGAAGTAGCGATACTAAAAAGAGACAAACGTATACATCTATACGATTTAGCCTGCGAGTGAATGAGATAGATATTAAGATTTAAGCCATCTAGCTATGGAGTGTAGATGTAAGGAGTACAGACTGTTTAAAAAAGTGTCCGTAGAAAAGCGTTAAATAAGGATGGCGCCATCCCACTGTAGCTACAGTGTAGATTTTAAAGAACTTCTTATAATTTTTTTATTGCACAGACTTTCACCGTAATTCATTTTACAATAATTATTTTTTTGCTATCAAAATTTTTATTTTCAAACCTATTTTACGGCGATTTACACGACGATTTATCATACCATGTAGCTACTCGAGCGCTGTTGTGAAGTTTTTGAATAGTTATTTACTGCTTACAGATTGACACATTTTCAACTATTCTCCTATGGGAGATTGTCCTCCTTACCTCTATACTCCATGCATCTAGCGTAATATTTACGTTCCACTTTGATAGTCAATCAATTTTTGTTCTATAACAAATGACTTTACCTATAATAGATATCATTAATACAACGCAATTTTACTACTAATAAAATATTCTTTTGATTTACTACACTAAAATATAGGCTCCACATGTCTAAGAATAACGAAGTTATCTTATATTTTATGCCATGCTTGTAGTTGAAAATTATCTTAATAAATAAATAATTTGCGGTGAAATATTTTTAATTAATTCATTTCATTTGAAGGTTTCACTTCTAACGCGTTTAAACTGCTTACACGCTCTTTTTTAACATCTGCCTCATATTAAATATAGATTACGTATAATTTAGAAGGTCTAACAGCACTGGTAATAATATTTACTGACACAGCCCTGTAAGTAGTATGACCTCAAACTGCACTTAGAATGGAAAATTTATACGGCCCATTTCTTGGTGGAAAACAAGTATGTTTATTTATTTTATAATATACTAGTTGTGTCCGACATTCGTTGCAATGCATTTTTTCCGAAACCTTTGCAGGTTTCATTCTAATTGAACGAATGGTATAGAAACGCATGGGGGAAAAACAAACAAATAAACAACGTTTTGTATGTAGAAATAAATGTAAATTCAATTGCAACATTAATAAATAAAATGCAATTTTAATTAATGGAATCAGTTTAAAAAAATAACACGCTATCCATATATTTAGCTTTAAGTTTGCTTTGTAATATTTTTGATTTATGCAAAATATAGTAGAGGCCTAGCCTAGAGCATAACTATATTTAATAGAAGAATTTTCTTATAATAGTTATCTATTTATCACCAACATAGCGCTAATTACCAGTATTATTGGCTAATCTAGCTACATTTTTAGAATGAAGTCTTAGGTATTTTGGTTATTCTCCTCTCATTATTGATGAATATGCCTAGTATTATATTTTAAATTACAGTAAATTTAGAGTCGACTCGTTATGCGTTCTGCAATACCGAAACTATTTATCGATTTGGTTGCTGGTAACAGGGTACCGACCTTTTAATATAAACGACTAGGGTTTGGAGTGAAACGTGGATGCGTATTAAATATAGATTTTCGATACGATACATAAATCCTAACGATTTTTTCAATAATTTTTATTAAAATTTGCATAATTTATAGATACAACACCTGAAACTTGTATTATAGGTAACTTAGACCTAAACATATTTCGTTGCTGGCAATATTACAATACCTACATGCATATTACTACATATCATTTGATGTTCGTAACATAGATCTTATTATTTATCAAATTTTTTACGGTTTGTAGCTCATACTTCTTTCTGACATCGAGACCGAGAAGAATTAGTGGACATGTTTCGAGCATATTTTTTAATTTTATGTAACTAAAGTTCTTTACGTAAAATCATCTTCTAATACAGTTCTTGTAATATCAACAAGATACTGCATACATATTATAATGTATCACAATATTGATCAAGTAGGTACCTCTAAACGTCAAAGTCAAGAACTATGTAAATGTCACTTAATAGCTGAAATACAATAATATCATTTCGCAAACTACTTTATCTAAAGCCCCACCTTTCTAAACTAGTGCTGAAACTACGTTTCTGCCTCAGTCTGTTTGAATAGAACTTGACAGAAACTAATAATTGCTAACCGCGTAGCTTAATTGCATCCTCAGAGGGAAACTAAAGAAGATGGGCAGAGCAGCATCCTTCTGATAACAACCGAGAGTGCCCAGGGAACTGTAGCAAAATCTGACGAGGCGTAGGTACTGTGGGGATGGCCTATGTGCAACAGTATACTTTTGATGGATTGTAATAGGATGATAAGACTTTAAAAGAAATGATAACAAAATCGCGAGGAATCGAACATTAGGTTCGCCTTATCAAGACGTCATAAATTTCGTAATATATTACTTCGTTACATTCAACGAACAGCTGATTGCAGATACACACGGTCATTATTTTGTTCTCATGCTCGGTAATATGATCCAGATGACCTATACACAAACAAGGCGCCAATGTCCGTCTAATCATGTCGTTACGTCACCTCTATCTCATTCTACTTTAGGTTTATGTTCATGTTCACTATTCTCTTTCATACAACGCCTTCGCTCTACTGAGTGCTCAGATTTGACCTTAGTTTTGCTGCATCAAATCAGTTCAGTGTCGCGTTTAAATAAAACCATGAGTGCTTGCTGTTTCTATCACTTTCAATCAAAATGACTGTGACAGCAAGAAACTTAACGACATCTTAAAATTGAGTA